ATGTGTATAAACATCGCTAATCTTAGGCATGAAGTTACCTCGATTTTTTTTTTGTTATCTTCTGAATCTTAACTTATGAAATTGGTTTCTTTTGTATCATCTTCTATTCTGTGTTCATGTGTTTTCCAATCTATTAATATTTCCCGCTGATTTCCCATACATAAATCATGTCTCTAATTAATCGTTTACAGTCTCCGTGGTGTAGTGGTAAGACACTCGCCTGGCGTTCCGCGAGCGCTGTCATGGGTTCGTATCCTGGCCGGGGAGGATTTACTGGGCGCAATTCCTTAACTGTAGCCTCTGTTTAACGCAACAGTAAAATGTGTACTTGGATGAAAAAACGATTCTTCGCGGCAGGGGATCGTATTCCAGGGACCTGCCCGAAACGCTACGCGTACTAGTGGCTGTACAAGAATGTAACAACTCTTGTATATATCTCAAAAAATCTTCGCCTATTTAGCGAAAATACAAAAATAAACCATCTAATCTTATGAAAGGGTTTTAATGGTCAAGATTACCTTCGTCATTTTACAAAAGTTCTAATAGTGAATAACAAGGGAAAAAATAATATTGGTTAACTTAATAACATTTTTAGTTATAATTCACACTGACTTTATTTATCAATACAATTTATTTAGTAATTCGTATTTGCTCATTATTATATTTACCTTATTTATTATTGAATCGAATTCATGATTGGCAATTTTGACATTGTGGAACTGATGTATTAAAGCTATTGTTATTTCCTTGGCCTAGAACACAAGAACTAGTCAGTTTTCTCTCCAATTCTTGTTTGGTATGTCTATAGGAAACTTATATGTCTCTGCCTGCACCACACTATTGTGACTTATACCTACACTACTCTGCTCTGACTTATACCTACACTACTCTGCTCTGACTTATACCTACACTAGTCTGCTCTGACTTATACCTACACTACTCTGCTCTGACTTATACCTACACTAATCTGCTCTGACTTATACCTACACTAGTCTGCTCTGACTTATACCTACACTAGTCTGCTCTGACTTATACCTACACTAGTCTGCTCTGACTTATACCTACACTAGTCTGCTCACACTAGTCTGCTCTGACTTATACCTACACTAGTCTGCTCTGACTTATACCTACACTAGTCTGCTCTGACTTATACCTACACTAGTCTGCTCTGACTTATACTTACACTAATCTGCTCTGACTTATACCTACACTAGCCTGCTCTGACTTACACTTACACTAGTCTGCTCACACTAGTCTGCTCTGACTTATACCTACACTAGCCTGCTCTGACTTACACTTACACTAGTCTGCTCACACTAATCTGCTCTGACTTATACCTACACTAGCCTGCTCTGACTTATACCTACACTAGTCTGCTCACACTAGTCTGCTCTGACTTATACCTACACTAGTCTGCTCTGACTTATACCTACACTAGTCTGCTCTGACTTATACCTACACTAGTCTGCTCTGACTTATACCTACACTAGTCTGCTCTGACTTATACTTACACTAATCTGCTCTGACTTATACCTACACTAGTCTGCTCTGACTTACACTTACACTAGTCTGCTCACACTAGTCTGCTCTGACTTATACCTACACTAGTCTGCTCTGACTTATACCTACACTAGCCTGCTCTGACTTACACTTACACTAGTCTGCTCTGACTTACACTTACACTAGTCTGCTCTGGGTGATGGCATACACTACACTATCTTGTATTCTGTTTGGCAGGAACTTGTGAGCTTACAACCCACAACTTCCTGTCAAACAGAATACAAAATATTAACAAACAATAGTCAAGATACGTCAGAAAAGTTCCCATATGATTAGTTTGGTTTGTCGAGGCCAAACTTTCATAGCGACGTTGCTTTTTGTGATATCTTTCGATACCGGCTCTTCCAATCACTCCTCCCCCCCTTCCTTGTCCCATGCCAAATCCTTATTCTGATCCCTTCCAAGTGCTATGTAGTCTTAATGGCTTAATCTTTCCCTTCTACCAATCACCGTGAAGCACAATTCACCAAGCGTTGGATTGTTCACCCACCAAAACGGAACGTGAGCTGGGTTTAGACCGTCGTGAGACACTGTTACTCTACTGTTAAACTCTGTCGTTGCGACAACAGTTCAGGAGCCTGATTCACGAAGCACTTACGCAAGCACTTGATTACCTTGTGCTTCTTTTTTTCAATCTTTCGCGGCTTTGTTTACACTTATTTAACAGTTAATGAGCTCCGAAGCACCAGGAGGCTGTTTATAATAATAACAACAGTTGACTGGGACGTTTTCATGCTTGTAAACTGTTTAATAAATGTAGCCAAAGCTGTTCAGTACGAGAAGAACCGCAGGTCCGGTCAAATGGTTGCTTTCTTGGTCGTGGGATGAGGCAGAAAACCTCTAAGGTAGAATCGCGGCGTTTCGGACTTGCTTCTCTCTCTCTCTCTCTCTCTGTCTCTCTCTCTCTCTCTCTCTCTCTCTCTCTCTCTCTCTCTCTCTCTCTCTCTCTCTCTCTCTCTCTCTCTCTCTCTCTCTCTCTCTCTCTCTCTCTCTCTCTCTCTCTCTCTCTCTGTCTCTCTCTCTCTCTCTCTCTCTCTCTCTCTCTCTCTCTCTCTCTGTCTCTCTCTCTCTCTCTCTCTCTCTCTCTCTCTCTCTCTCTCTCTCTCTCTCTCTCTCTCTCTCTCTCTCTCTCTCTCTCTCTCTCTCTCTCTCTCTCTCTCTCTCTCTCTCTCTCTCTCTCTCTCTCTCTCTCTCTCTCTCTCTCTCTCTCTCTCTCTCTCTCTCTCTCTCTCTCTCTCTCTCTCTCTCTCTCTCTCTCTCTCTCTCTCTCTCTCTCTCTCTCTCGGGAGGAGGAAGGTGAGAGGCGTGGTATGGACCCATGTAAGGGGAACCAGGGTTGTCGCGCCAAACCGTGCTGGCGTCTCTATCTCAAATAAGGACATCTCTAATGCTAATGTGCTGTACCGAATTGTTCGTAGACGACTTACCGTACCGGTCAGGGTGCTGTAGGTGGCAGAGCAGCATCCCCACTAAGACTTGAGGCCTAAAACTTAGGCCAGAAACCTCTGGCCTAAGACACCCTCTTAGGCATGAGATTTCGTCACCCTCATCCCTCCTGATAGCGATAACCCTTCGATAAGAGGCGTATAAGACATAGACAAAACTACAGATCACAGCTTTAGGTTATCTTCTAAAGATGACACAAAAATCCGCGCCTAATAATAGGTTATATTTTATAATATAGTATTATCAGTCTCTGTAAAGATAGTCTCTCTCTCTGGTTGAGGTTGAGGACAAATGTGTTCGATTAGCCTCATGCAACTTTGCATGGTGAATAGTGATTGCATGACGAGTGTCATAAGGGGGAAGGTGGGGGTGTAGAGGTTGACCTCTAATGCCCTCTTTTAAGTACGATTGGCTCCTTTAGATCAACAACTCCTTAGGTGATTGAAGTGAGTGATTGTCTAGACAGTGATTAACTCGCCTGTTATCCACGTTCATTTAGCATTGATTCAACATCGATAATGTTGAATGGACGTCGATTCAGTGTTACTCAAGCATGTTTTGCCCCCCACCTTGAGAGAGAATGGGAGTGAGGGAAATGGGAAGGAGGGATAATGGTAGGGAAAAAAGAGAGAATGGGTGACAGGGAGAGAGAGAGAGAGAGAGAGAGAGAGAGAGAGAGAGAGAGAGAGAGAGACAGTCAGACACCCGGGCACCGCCGGATAACCCCATCTGATTAATTTATATTTAAGAAGAACCGGATCTTGAATAGTCCGTTAGTATTCACGAATGGGTCTTTTTTGGGTCAGTTTCTACCTATACAAGGTCAGCTTAAGAATAAAGAATAAAGCTGAGAGTAAAGTTTGAGAATAATGCTTGAGAATAAAGCATCATTAACTCGAGAAACGTGTGTGTGTCTGCTGGCAATTAATTTAATTTGCCAATCAAAGAGAGAAAGCGGAATGAATAATAATAATTATAATAATAATAATTGCCTACCTGGTGAGTCACACATACCTGGCCCCCCTAATACCTGACTCTTGTCTCAACTTACCACCACCAGACACTCACCCACACTCATCACACTCATCACACTCATCACACTCATCTCCCTCATCAAATTCATACCATCATCACCAACGTTACTAACCACTAATAACTTAGTATCCATCCCACACTGGTGTCTTGCTCATTCCACTTCGCAATATATATATACAGATTTGCATGAGCATTGCAAATCTGGCCAATCTCCCCATCCCCCCCTCTCTCTCCCCCTCCTTGCTCTCGTATCAGGGTCTGGGGTCTGTTAAGCTGTGATTTATATATTATTTTTGAGTGTTTTATGGTCTGCTCCCTTATCAAATATACAAGCTTGAATTTATGCTAGTTCCTTATTATTTTTTTTATAATTATATCCGATGTTTCATGGTCAGAAAGGCAACGTGTGCAGTTTTTGAGTCTACTTGTCTGAAAGGTATTTTTTTAAAACGCTATTTCAGTGCTTTCATTTACTGCTTCAAGAAATTAATCTTTATTTCTCACAGGCTCGGCTGTGTCAAGCTTAAGTCCCGACTGTCATTGTTTTGGGCGACAGTGCTAATCAGGAGTAATCTGATTCATTAATCAATCTGCATTTTGCTGGGGGGTTATGATTGGTTATCAGTTATTAGTAATTGATTACTTAATTGATTACTTAAATTTTTGTTATAGAACCTATTCAGTTGATTGAGCCCCTAGGCACAGCACCTCTTAAAACCTAGAGGTTCTCTAGGTTTTCTAGAGGGATAAGATGGTGGGGATGGATGCCCAGACCAGCAATCCCTATACTTGTTTGTTTAATACGTGAATATAGAATAGCAGCCTTCAGCGTGGGTAGGAGAGTAAATTATGCTTTGCAAGTAGGCTAGTGGTGGTGGTGAATCTGGTGAGTAAGGGGGGGGGGGAAATGCGGAGGATGAATGATGAGAATGGGTGTAGTGGATGAGTTTGGGCGAATGATGTCGGTGTATCGTGAGGTTAGCGGAGTGAGGGAGATAGGAGACAATAGGTAGGTAGAAGTGAGATATCTTTTGTCATTGAACAAATCCACAAGGGCCGTGACGAGGATTCGAACCTACTTACCTGTGAGCATATCTCTTGTCATCACCTACACGGGGCTCTATTTGCCGATGAGACAATATTTCCTCATAATTGTTCATGCTGGTGTGTGAGGTCTTGCGATTCTGGCGACTGGAAAACTCTGACCCAGCGACTGATCAGCAGACTAAAATTAAAGCTTCAGGTTCGTTCACCTGAAGCTTCTGCAATGTTGACTCTGATGTCTTTGCTAAGAGAAGTGTGGAATATATATATATATATATATATATATATATATATATATATATATATATATATATATATATATATATATATAATATATATATATATATATATATATATATATATATATATATATATATATATATATATATATAATATGGCTCGTGGTTATACCGTAGTTGTTAAGTGTAGCTAATTGTGCCAGTCAGTCGCTGTGTGTGTGTGTGTGTGTGTGTGTGTGTGTGTGTGTGTGTGTGTGTGTGTGTGTGTGCGCGCGCACCGGTTCCACAACTGTCAGCCAACGCCTCCAAGCATGCAAAAATATGAACACATGTAGACGATGAGTCACAATAACGTGCCTGAAGATACGATGACCAAATTACACACCAGAAGATGAGAAGACGACGACGTTTCGGTCCGTCCTGGACCGTTATCAAGTCGACTGTGGCCAAAAATTGTGATTCAGTCATCGTGGAGACTGATTTTGTCACACAGCTGCATCTCAACTTTCGTACTAAGATGAAGAGAAGAATTTTATATGTTTAGAATAGAATTAGAATTTTAGAATAGAATTTTTTATCCATGTTCAAAGAATTTTATACGCCGTTTAGAGCCATGAACGCCACTAATATAAGAAGAGTACCAAGATGTATTGAGAAGATTTGACTCCTCACACACCTTAACCTGGTACCCTAGAGTAACGTATTAATGTGGGCACTTAATAACCTTGATACTTGACCCCTTGACCTAGAAATAATGCTGCGTAAGATGGGTACGGAATACGCTTATATAATACACGCAGACGTGAGGTAACATTTCGTCAGTGAGGGGCAGTGTTGTAACGAAGCCAGGTGTGTGAGGAGCATGTAATGAGGACACACAGCACGGATAAACCCACCTCATAATCTTCCACCACTTGACTCTCTTATCAAGGACAACGTAAAGTAGGAGTACTCAAGGAGGGAAAAGTACAAACTGGATCACATCCCTCAGGACGACGACAACGTCACTAGGAAAATAAAATCAGGGTTGTGAATCGACGTAAGAGAGTGGCTGTCATCATTGTTATTTTATTCCCTCCCTAGACCAAACATGTTCAGTGATTATATGGCTAGGAGCGTTGCATGAATATTGCATGGTGGGAGTAGGGCACCCTTGGGAGCCACACCATGTCCACACCAGGGGGGGGCATGGGTGCCCACTGGGATTCACACCAGGGGTATGGTGGTGCCCACTGGGATTCACACCAGGGGTATGGGGGTGCCCACTGGGACATACATCAGGGGTATGGGAGTGCCCACAGGGACACACATCAGGGATATGGGGGTGGCCACTGGGCTCCACACCATGGGCTCGCATGTTCACTGGGCTCCACACCAAGGGCACGCATGTTCACTGGGCTCCACACCAAGGGCACGCATGTTCACTGGGCTCCACACCAAGGGCACGCATGTTCACTGGGCTCCACACCAAGGGCACGCATGTTCACTGGGCTCCACACCATGGGCTCGCATGTTCACTGGGCTCCACACCATGGGCTCGCATGTTCACTGGGCTCCACACCAGGGGACACCGACCGACACACGTGATGGGATTATAACAACACACCAACAGTCTGGTGGGCTTTGATATGCAAGGAAAACCTCAGTGCAACAATCGCGTGATAATCGCTCGATTAGAGTCAACGTTTAATATGCCTTTCGATATACACGCTCAGAGTACTGGAGGCTGGGGCCGCCTCTCAATAGGAAGCCTGGTCGAAGACCGGGCCGCGGGGACGCTAAACCCCGAATTCATCTCAAGGTACTCTCAAGGTAACATCTTTAGGTAATCTCCCATGTGTTTTTGCTGGGCTGTTTTCTCCTCGGGATATTCAGACTTTGAATAAGATTTTCATTTTAAGCTTTTTGACCAACATATTCACGTTTGTGTTCATGCGAGCTTCAGTGAGTACTCATAGTACGTGTTCATGCGAGCTTCAGTGAGTACTCATAGTACGTGTTCATGCGAGCTTCAGTGAGTACTCATAGTACGTGTTCATGCGAGCTTCAGTGAGTACTCATAATACGTGTTCATGCGAGCTTCAGTGAGTACTCATATTACGTGTTCATGCCAGCTTCAGTGAGTACTCATAGTACGTGCCATGGGAGCTTCAATGATCATATGAAAATTCAGTGATTGCATCTCCATAGCAGCTGATCACTGTAATGCCATATGAGTTACATTTAAACTTACAGCGAACTTCCCTCTCCTGACTACTAGTTCATTCAATATTAAACCAAATAATTTAGCGTTAGCGAGTCAAACAAATGGACCGTCTTATGGCAATATTCGTGACGATATATCTCGACCTAGCTTCATTACTCGCATATAGCTTCCCTCATAACTTTCCAACCACTTGAACTGGGCGGTAGAGCGACGGTCTTGCTTCAAGCAGGTTGGCGTTCAATCCCCGACCGTCCAAGTTGTTGGCCACCATCCCTTTCCTCCGTCCCATCCCAAATCCTTATCCTGACCTCTTCCTAGTGCTATATAGCCGTAATGGCTTGGCTCTTTTCCCCTAATAACTCTCTCTCTCTCTCTCATAACTTTCTGAAAGGCTTATAAACTCTGGCAATATTATAAAAAGGTCCAGGGATGAGATGAGGTGTCATACACAAAGTAGATGTCATACACAAAGATGTATGAGATGTCACAAAGATGCTGAGATGTCATACACAAAGTAGATGTCATACACAAAGATGTATGAGATGTCACAAAGATGCTGAGATGTCATACACAAAGTAGACTGAGATGTCATACACAAAGTAGACTGAGATGTGAGCCGTCAAGCATCTCACACAGTGTTGCAGACAGCTACTTGCATATGCATGACCCGCCTGGCTAGGAATATATATATATATATATTGTGCACTCTTGTAAGGTAAGGTAGATGAAACTTTAGAAGGGAAGGAGCTCTTAGGGGTGAGTCGAGTTCTCTCTGAGCCCAGAGCTCACTCACTCAGTAGGTCACAGGGATATATATATATTAAGTTTGCCATCTGTTATAACGTTGCAAACGATTGATGTCTCCTATGTTGAACCCACAATAAATTCCGGGTATCTATTTACTGATAGGTACCCAGACACATGAGGTGCAAGGAAACATACTCAAACGTCACGTCCTGTCAGCTAATCGAACCCTGGACCATTCAGTTGTGAGCAGACTACGCAGACCACTGTACTAAATCAGGTCTACCTGGTTTTTGGTGTATATATACTGAGTTTACTTTAGTCCTTTACTGTATCCGGGTTCTTGCTTGTTGGTTGGTCAGAGAACTAATGGTACGGCCTTAATTAATAGCCCTTCAGAGGCTGATCATTAGGCACTCGGACTTGAAGCAGCAGTGGGTGGAAGCAGCAGTGGGTGGAAGCAGCAGTGGGTGGAAGCAACAGTGGGTGGAAGCAGCAGTGGGTGGAAGCAGCAGTGGGTGGAAGCAGCAGTGGGTGGAAGCAGCAGTGGGTGGAAGCAGCAGTGGGTGGAAGCAGCAGTGGGTGGAAGCAACAGTGGGTGGAAGCAGCAGTGGGTGGAAGCAGCAGTGGGTGGAAGCAGCAGTGGGTGGAAGCAACAGTGGGTGGAAGCAGCAGTGGGTGGAAGCAGCAGTGGGTGGAAGCAACAGTGGGTGGAAGCAGCAGTGGGTGGAAGCAGCAGTGGGTGGAAGCAGCAGTGGGTGGAAGCAACAGTGGGTGGAAGCAGCAGTGGGTGGAAACAGCAGTGGGTGGAAGCAACAGTGGGTGGAAGCAGCAGTGGATGGAAGCAGCAGTGGGTGGAAGCAGCAGTGGGTGGAAGCAGCAGTGGGTGGAAGCAACAGTGGGTGGAAGCAACAGTGGGTGGAAGCAGCAGTGGATGGAAGCAGCAGTGGGTGGAAGCAGCAGTGGGTGGAAGCAACAGTGGGTGGAAGCAGCAGTGGGTGGAAGCAACAGTGGGTGGAAGCAGCAGTGGATGGAAGCAGCAGTGGGTGGGAATTCACTGATGAACAATGTATCCTGTTAGGTCTGGATTGGGTTTTTCGAAAATTTTCTTTCCTTTTCTTTCCTTTCTAGGAAAATCTGGGCCAGGAACAGGGGTCACTTCCTGGGATCGTGGACCAGGAACTGGGATCGTTTCCTAGGATCGATCTGTTGGAAGGGATTCCGGCAGTGTGACAGACTTACCCATT